TGGTTTTTTTTTTTTATTTTTTCCCTTGGAGAAGATATTTATAGACTAATAAAAATGTACTTGGAAGTGAAATTCAGCTGGGAATTTGCAAAGTGGTTTTAATGATATAGAATAGCAAATTTATATTTTATGTATTATCTAATTTGTTTGAATTGCACACAAAGAATCCAAGAAATTTGTTTTAATAGGTAATAATAATACTAAAAATTTTGTTGTTTAAAAGAAAAACAATTCTTCAAGAGGAGGTAAATAAAGAGTCATGATTCTTAATAGTACAAAAGGGGTTGTTTACAACCATTATCTTGTTACTAATACACCTGAGCAAGTACATATCTTCTCATTCACTTTCAAATACTAGACTATAGCTGCTTAAAAAGATGCAAATTAATTCCTTCTTTGTTTATGCAGTTTTGTTTTATGACTGCTCTGTTTCACACTACTAATCTTTAATGGGCCTTCAATTTTTTTTCTTTTTTCTTTAAAACAGCAAATGAATGCAGGTCCTTCCTTTTAAATCCAGACAGAAAGAGAAAAAATATTTAAGTTTTCATGCCACAGCTGCAGGCTGTGAATTATCCCACTAGGGAAGAGTGGAAATACCACCCACATAATCCAACAAGAGGCTTGATTCATTTTGTGTCTGAAGCAATCGTTGTGGTCTTACAAAGCTGAAATGAGTTTCCTTTGCAATCTTCACAGGAGAAAAAAAAAAAATATCTTCTTTACAGGCTCAAAGCAAGATCCCACTTTTTAATTAATTTTTACTCCTATTTCTCATTTTTATTTTTCTTCCTCAGTTTCTCACTATTTTGCAACTACTTTAACTTTACATATTACAAGGGAATTGATATGAGACAAGATGTAAAGAAGAGCCAAGTAATATCTTCCCAGGCCTATCAATCCCAGCTGAACTTGTGACAAGTGATTTGGTTAGTGTATGAGAACCAGATACAAGGAACTTTGCAGAGCTTGTTTTTAAGGCTCCTATTTTTTCCAGGATAGTCAGAAAACCTTCCTGTCTCACAGACACAAGGAGTTAGTTGCCATCTGTTTAACATCCCAGTGGAAGCACCTGCCTAGGGTTTTCTCTAAATAAGCAGGACTCCACTCAGTATGCATAGATGCTATGTAGCTTCCTACAGATCACCAATAGTAATTAATGAAGAGAGAGAGATTAAAATCTGACTTTTATGTTCTTTACTCTAGGCTGTAGGGAGGTTTTTTCCTCTTGGGATCCTAATGCTTGAATTTTAACTTGGAGAACTTTAAAGTGCTCAGGATATATATACACACATATATATATGTATATATATATATATGTATATATATGTATATATATGTATATATATGTATATATATGTATATATATATGTATATATATAAATATATATATATTTAATGAGCTGGATAAATGATTTAAAAGTTCAGCTACTGACAGATGAAATGATGACTGCAGTAAAAGTCAGCTGGTTGCAGTACTGTCCAGATAGATTTCTATTGCCTCACAATATTCATACACTTGCTGTCCATTCCTTCATGCAGTGATGTAGTCACAAGGCTCTTTAGGACAAGAGGACAGAAGGAACAACAGAAAGAGAAGGGGAGGGAGGAAGGGAGAAAGAAGGAAAAAAGGCTGGTTGGTTTGAATTCTCATTTGATAAAAGTAGAATTAAATAGATGTTTTTATCAGATGGACTAGGTGATTTTTGTAGGTCCCCTCCAACCTGGACTATTGTATTGATATATACTGAATATGTATCCATATATCCAGTGGATATCATGGACATGAGATTAATGCTTCTGATCTACATAAAGTAGAAATTGCTCATATATGTTTAAGGTGTGTGAGCAGGTTCACTTTGAAAACATTTTCCAGATCAAAACTCTCAGCTGAGTTGGATCCCTGCATGAATGATTTCAGGATGCTGACCAAGCTTTGGAATGGGTGGTGCAGGAATCTTCCCAGTTCTCTCAAGAACTTGTAAGGATGTGGAAATCTTATCTCTTAATCTGATTACAGAAGTCTTCATCATAAAAGGCTTATACATTTTGGATGCAAGTAAAGATTTGAACTAAAGAATTTAATTTCATTGTAAATTCATTTTACTTTTAAATAGTAAAACATATCTAACATTTCAATACTTTATTACTGTAATTTTTCTCTACATTTAAACTGAAATTTAAATTCAAGAAATATTACATACAGTTCTAAATATTTCATCACATCTATATGTGCTTAAATTAATGTATGTTTTAGATCTAAAACCTCAGTCAGCGCTTTTTCTAGTGATAGCAGAAATATGGCTCAGAATTCAGTGAACTCCCACAAATTTTGTTGAGACCAGTAAAGTTCTAAAGAGATATGGGCAGTGTATTGAATAGCTTTAGACATATATAATGAACAGTCATCATTGTTTTAAGATTCTACAAAAAAATATAAAACTGAAAAAAATATGTCAGTTTACCACTTTTTAGTTTACTCATGAGTCATAGCCTTAGTTGTATTTTGTTATGTATATTTAGAAGCTGTAATCTCTGAAAAGCTTGCCAGGAATTGCCTGTGAACTCACACTAATAGGCATCCTAAACAGAAAAGGAACCTGAATACAGGGAAAATAACTGTTCTCAGAGCTCTGGCATGGTCCTCGTTGCCAGGGAAACCTCTTCTTTGTCTCTACGTGTTCAGAATGGCTGCCTCATTAGACACTGAACCTGATCATCCCACTGCACTACCAGGAGAAAAAAAGTAAGGAAGGGGAAAGGCTAAGAGTTCCACAAATCTTTAAGAAAATGCCAAGAATAGGGGTAATCTTAAATAAATCTATGTGTAGCTATTATCATAATTATGTTCTGTAAGGGTAAATCTGTCCAGGCTGCTTCTTTCCACATTTATTTGCAGGTGGAAGTGAGCAATTCTGGATTTTCTTTTACTGAATTAAAAAAGAAAAAAGAAAAAAAGAATGTGAACACAAAGCTGGTGAATTGCATATTTTATCTAAGAAATGTCTTACTTTAAAATATTGAAAAACACCTATTTAATAAGGTCATTCTGCTTATTTAACTGCCTGAGATTGTTTTAGCATTTCTATAGCAGATTTTATTAATGAAGTCAGAAGCATAAAATGTCAGGGAAAAACCTGCAGAGGTACATTTATTACTCTGATCATAAAGAGGAGTGGTGAAAAAATAGTAAAACTTGAAAATATATAGTGACAGGAGAGTTACTTTATGTTTACTACTAAGTTTTAATCAAGATACTAAAAACAGCACCACATAAACTTCTGAAGTGCAGAACTGGATGCAGTTTCAAGGCATTACTCATTGGCAATAAAACTGTGAACCCAAGGTCCCTCAGGAGCTCAGCCCCTGACCTTGGCTGATGAGAGAAGCCACTGAAAACAGGGCCAGAGCTTAACCTCCGCCCTCTGTGGTTTATAAATATCAACATAGGCAAGGGATTTTAAAGTCATCATCCCAACAAGTCTGTTCTCTGAAAAGAAAAATGAAATCCAAATCACAGGTGAAATAGTTAAGGAATGCCTGACTTTACTCTTATTTATGAAGAGGGAAAGCAACCCAGCTAGACCTTTTTTTCCTTATTTTTTCTCAACTGTACCAGATGTGAAACTAAGTAGTTAGATGCAAAAACAAGAGAGAGCCTGACCAGGTGGTCTGAGATTAACTGGTTGCTTTCCAAAACCATAAAGAAATTACATTAACTACATTTACATGTACCTGGAGCCATTTTCCTTCTGAGTAAGTGATAAGCTATGCTGAAGCTCTGACGTTGCCTAAGTAACAGTATTCAAATTAATATATTTTCTCTTTTTTTAAACAATGCCTTTTATCTTACAAACATTTCAGGGATTTTTTTTCCCTCCTCTGGGGTAATATTTCTAAAACAGGACTTGGAGATTGCAGCTAGAAGAAAAGAGGAAAGAAATGGCTGAATGTAATCGCCTGTCCACTACATGGCAAATCGCCTGTCCTCTCCTTGCAAAGTAGTTCTTTTCAGTTACATGGTGAAATATTTCCAAAATTCCATGAGAGATGAATCATTAATGTGAAATAATTTCTCCAAATGGGGACTTGTGTCAGAGAAAGCTATTCTGGTGGGCTCCTGTAACCACCAGAGTTATTTCCTTTCTTTATTTTAAACAGTTTCACATAGAGAGGAACTAGAAGAAGATATTTAAAATCAATATACAAGGCAAGAAATAGTATCAGGAATGGTACTAGAATGTTATTTGAAGTGGGTTTGATGTGCAGGTGTGAAGTAAGTTCACAAATTTAATAAATTTAGGTAAATACAGAGAAAGTAAATGGTTTGTCTTAGCTTCTCTTTTGAGCAAATACACACAAGGATACCAAAGTTTAAAAAAGAATAATAAAAAGCATGGTCTGAATCATAATGCATAAATGTGTGAGCCTACATGTCTGTGAGAAAAGATAATTAATGAAAAGCTACAGTTATAACTAGGTAGTAATTATAGTCACTCTATTTTATTATGATAGTCTAACTGAACCAGGCTGGAAATTCTAGGAGCTGCATTTCTAAGTCCCATTTATGTTCTGAGCACCAGTTTTTGTTTTTTTTTTTTTTCATTAATTAGTTTCCATTTACATTATTTCTTGTTTGAATTAACAGATCCAAAATACAAAGTCTTGTGTCTCTTCATTTTTGAAGAGGAGTTTAGGAAAAATACTGAAGATATTTCTGCATTTAACCTAAGGATCTCTCAATGCAGAAAGCAGAAAATATTTAAGAAAATAATTCTATACTTTTCAGTCCCAAATACTTTGCAAATATATGTGTTCTTTCATTCACAAAAACACAAAAAAATAATTGGAAGAGAGATGCAAATACAACTTTTGATCCCATTTTGTAAAATTTCTACAAAATATGTACTTATCAGTGTGTCAAAAATTTTTTTCAATATACCAGCCCATATAAGTAAGTAAGTGTACTGAATAGTTTCATATATAAATAAGGTACTGAATAGTTCATACTTCTTTATTTTACATACAGCATTGTGAGACCTAAGTATGCATGATGGTGATGGATACACAGACACCATCATGATTAAAGTAGAAACTTGTGGAACTAAAAATATAAGCAGTTCTAGTTGGTTGTAGAAGACCTTGATGGAAAAAGGGGATCTGTACAGACTACAAAAGCCCCTTAGAAGTCTCTAGGCAATAGTCCTTAAGTCATCACTGAGTCCACAAAATGCTGCTTGCACATACAAGTCAGCTTTTCAATAAAAACTCACAGAATAAGTAAGCAAAAGGGTTGCACCTCTGAGAGTGACTTAAATCACGTACAGATGGTACATTATAGATACCAAATATCCTCATAAGATCCTTGGTCCCATGATGCAGCATGCATCTTGCTCTCTGATCTCATAATACGTCAAAGCCCACTGTAAGAAAGAAAACAGCAGATCAGCTTCATCTTTATCCCATTGTTTTTCACATTACAGTGTGCACCCCTAATATAACCAACTAGAAACACTAAATGGGAGCAATGATGCAATTCCTAGGTCTTGCAAAAGGCACATGCAGGAAAAGGAATGAGATTGTTTAAGGGATATAAGTGACACAGAAGAAAGACACAGGTCTCTTAGCTGGTGTTATAAGAACATGGTGAGTACCCATGTTTCTTGTTTGTGTTTCTTTTGTCTCTTAATTTTAATTTTAGAGGCTTATGCACATCTTCTTGCTAAGATACGCGCATTAACAGACACAGTGATGGGAATCTAAAAGTTTGTATTTTACTCCACTGTTAAAATTGCAGTCTGTTGTCTCTCTGCTCTGTGTCTCTTTTCTGTGAGTATAAGCAACAATATTAGTTTCTTAAAGCTGGAAAGGTAAATCAGATATATAAACTAGAAATTTGCCTGCCAAATGCTTCTTATTCTACCAGAACCCCCAGATAACACCCCCTGGATACTTGGAATAAAATTTCACCTTTAAAGGGAAGTATTCTAATCAGTCAATTGATATTTTTAAACACCATATTGTCACTGCAAAATGAAAATCACTGATGACTCTCACAAAAATTTGGTACTGGTAGAGCTACAAATATAATCTTTCTGATGCATTGGGACATAGTGTTTATGCAGTCTAACAGCTTTTGTCCCAGTATAACATATACTAAAAATCTAGAACACACTTTATTTTTAGTTGTTTTTTTTTTTTTTTCCTGGATCTATGGTTTTGCTTTTGAAATTCTCTCTGAAGCAATAGTATTGCATGCATATTTGTGCCTGCTATCCCAGGTATACTCAAGAATGTTTGAAAGGATTAAAAAAGACACTTGCCTTGCTGGGTTAAATATTTTAGCTTTACTTGCATTGACATTGCAGGTGAAAGCCAAAAATTAAATAATAAAAAAAGAAATTAACCTGTTGGTAGCAACCTACCGTTTTCAGTCTTATTTCCAATCACACCGAGACAGAAAGTAGCCCTGACAATTCTGTGACTGCTCCAGCCCACTGTAAACAGGAGGTGGCAGTTCTAGTCTTTGATCCAATATGCTGCAGTGTTATAAAATGGCACTAACTAGCTAGGGAAGACAGTTCCACAATATGCAAGCTAAATAGCTTTTCCAAGGCTAGCCAGAGCTGCTTCCCCTTTATTCCCTTTTTGTAGAAAGCTAAAATGTGTCACACAGAGAGAGAAAAAAAAGAATAAAATAGAGCAGCCTTCTGACAGCTCAGAACTGGTACTGTGATAGAGACTCTAGAGCTAACTACACTGCATCCAAGGCTTTTTATTTTTCTTTTCCATTTTTTTTCTTTTTGATTTGAGTGTGCAAACACATAAAGATTGTTTTTATAGGGCTTTTTTGAAAGAAAAATCCTCTCTATTCATCTTGTGCTCTGTCTCACGCATTAGTTTCAAAATAATTTTTATCTCAGAAAATACTTTTATTCTAAAATACTAAAATTCCACTTAAAACTAGATCAATAATACCAATATATGACAGGTGAAATCTAGCAGGAGTGGCTCTAAAATCCAGTGCAGCCTATTCAACAGGCCATTTTTTTTTTAAATTTCTGATGCTCTTCTGAAATACTGCTGAATTGCTGAGAAGATATTGCTTTATCATTAAAGCAACTTCAGGATGGAACCTCCTCTGTTGGCTCTAGTTATGGAAGTGAGAGCTTCAACCTGCATGTTAAAAAGCCCTATGAGAGTAAAGACCAAGAGCAAAGTAGAGCCATTGGAAAATCTTTCACCACTGAAAGAAAATAGCAGAGCAAGGGAGATAAAAGGGTGTGAAGAATGCGGCTTGACATCTAAGAGAAACTATACATGCAAGTATTGTGGTTACTGCCTTTTAACCCAGCTCAGTGTCTGATCATGACAAATACCAGGAATCACAGCAGAAATATATTACACAGCCATATTGAGAATTTTATAGCATGCCTGGGAGCTAGGTGGAGGTGAGAACCACTGAAAGCACCTGACATTCAGAATCATGCAGAGTAAGCACATATCTGCAAGGTGCAAGTTTTTGGGAAGTATTTTAATGTAATTGCCAAACAACATGCTTTCTTAGGAAGAGTCGTGGGATGTTTAATTTTGATCAAATAATTTTTGCCTTTCTGCTATTCCACCTACATAATTTCTGTAAGTAACTTCTCTGAGTAGCACAACTGCTTTGCACTGTGGTGCATGAAACTAGGACATAATGTCATGGCCATAAATAACAAAATATCCTACTGTTCCCATCATGTTGTCCAGTGGGAACTCCTGTAGTCAGAGGTTCAGCAGTGTACATTAATCTTCACAGTGTTGTACAAGACATCACAAACTCAATTCCCCTGCATCCTCACAATGGAGTATGTTCAGCTGTAGAAAGAGAAAACGAGTCTGATGTTGCTAATCAGACAGACACATACTCTGACAGGTTCCACAACAGGAAGAGAATACAGATCATGACTTGTAGCTATGGAAAACAATACAAATGTTAAGGGCAGTATTGAACCAAAGAAGAAATCTGGTTATAATTGTAAAAGAGGCAGGAAAGCAGTACAGCAGTACATATCATTCTGCCAGGACCTTTCTGAGAGATTTAGGAAGCATTTAAAGGATTTACACACAATGAAATTCAGTTTAATTACTGTGTATCAGCTCAGCAATGGTAACAGTCTCCAAGAGTGCTGTATAGCCAAATTCAGGACTGCAACACTGCTTGACCTTCTTTACATTCCAACATAGCTCTGTTTAATGACATCACATTTACTGAGCACTAGAGGAACACAGTTGAAGAGGTTGGTGGTTCTTCTGATCTATAGTACCTTAGGCTGTGTTGATCTACGTTTCATTGGAGTATTTCCCAAAAAAAAACCAAAAAAAAAACCAAAAAAACACA